TTTCACCATTCAGGACAATGTTGGCTGTGGGTTTGTCATATATGGCCTTAATTATGTTGAGGAAAGTTCCCTCTATGCCTACTTTCTGCAGCGTTTTTATCATAAATGGGTGTTGAATTTTGTCGAAAGCTTTCTCTGAATCTGTTGAGATGATCATATGGTTTTTCTCCTTCAACTTGTTAATATGGTGTAGCACGTTGATTGATTTGCATATATTGAAGAATTCTTGCATTCCTGGAATAAACCCCACTTGGTCATGGTGTATGATCCTTTTCATGTGCTGTTGGATTCTATTTGCTAGTATTTTGTTGAGGATTTTTGCATCTATGTTCATCAGTGATATTGGCCTGTAGTTTTCTTTCTTTGTGACATCCTTGTCTGGTTTTGGTATCAGTGTGATGGTGGCCTCATAGAATGAGTTTGGGAGTGTTCATCCCTCTGCTATATTTTGGAAGAGTTTGAGAAGGATAGGTGTTAGCTCTTCTCTAAGTGTTTGATAGAATTCGCCTGTGAAGCCATCTGGTCCTGGGCTTTTGTTTGTTGCAAGATTTTAAATCACAGTTTCAATTTCATTACTTGTGATTGGTCTGTTCATATTTTCTATTTCTTCCTGATTCAGTTTTGGCAGGTTGTGCATTTCTAAGAATTTGTCCATTTCTTCCAGGTTGTCCATTTTATTGGCACAGTGTTGCTTGTAGTAATCTCTCATGATCTTTTGTATTTCTGCAGTGTCAGTTGTTACTTCTTCTTTTTCATTTATAATTCTATTGATTTGAGTCTTCTCCCTTTTTTTCTTGATGAGTCTGGCTAATGGTTTATCAATTTTGTTTATCTTCTCAAAGAACCAGCTTTTAGTTTTATTGATCCTTGCTATCGTTTCCTTAATTTCTTTTTCATTTATTTCTGATCTGAGCTCATTTCTTTTTAGTGCTGAATAGTATTCATTCATTATCTGGATAGATGGAGCTGCTATAAATACCTGTGATCAGGTTTCTGTATGGACATAAATTTTAAACTGACTTTGGTCAATAGCAAGGAATGTGATTTTGGATCATGTGTGAAGAGTATATATAGTTTTTGGTGGGGTTTTTTTTGGCTGCGTTGGGTCTTCATTGCTGCATGCGGGCTTTCTCTAGTTGCAGCAAACGGGGGCTACTCTTCATTGTGGTGCACAGGCTTCTCATTGCATTGGCTTCTCTTGTTGCAGTACACAGGCCCTAGAATGCACAGGCTTCAGTAGTTGTGGTGCATGAGCTCAGTAGTTTTGGCTAGTGGGCTCTAGAGCACAGGCTCAGTAGTTGTGGCTCACGAGATTAGTTGCTCCATGGCATGAGGGATCTTCCCAGACCAGGGACCGAACCTGTGTCTGCTGCATTGACAGGTGGATTCTTAACCGCTCTGCCATGAGGGAAGTCCCAAGAGTATATATAGTTTTTTAAGAAACTGCCAAACTGTCTTCCAGAGTAGCTGTACCATTTTGCCTTCCCATCAGCAATAAATTAGAATTCCTGTTGCTTCATATCCTCTTCAGCGTTTGGTGTAGTCATTGTTTTGAATTTTGGTTATTCTAATAGGTGGGTGATGGTATCTCATTGTTTTTTTAATTTGTTATTTCCTAATTACATATGATGTAATTTCCTAATTACACATCTTTTCATTTGCTTATTTGCTATCTGTATATCTTCTTTGGTAAGGTGTCAGTTCAGGTCTTGCCCATTTTTCAGTTGGGTTGTGTTTCCTTATTGTTGAGTTTTTAAGAGTTCTTTGTATATTTTGGATAACAGTCCTTTATCAGGTATGTCTTTTGCAATTATTTTCTCCCAGCCTGTGCCTTGTCTTCTCAATTTCTTGAGGTAGTTTATATTTTTAGCTATTACATTTATTATCCATTTTAATTTAATTGGAAATGGATATTCAGTTGTTCCAGTATATTTGTTGGAAAGACCATCTGTTTCCTCATTGCTTTGTCTTGCACCTTTGTTGAAAATCAGCTGACCATACTTGAATTTATTTCTCAATTCTCAATTCTGTTGCACTGACTTATGTATCTATCATTATGTTAATACAGTACCTATTTTATTACTATGGGTTTAAAATAAACTTTGAAATAGATTAGTATAAGCACTCACCAACTTTATAATTCTATTTTACAATTGGTCTAGCTATTCTACATTCTTTATCTTTTAATGCAAATTTTAGTATCAGCTTCTCCATATTTATAAAATTCCTGGTGTACCTTTGACAGTGATTGCACTGCATCTGGGGAGAATTGCCATCACCATATTGAATCTTCCAATCTACAGGCTTGGAGTGTCTCTCCATTTATTTATATCTCTTTAAATTTGTCTCAGAAGTGTTTTATAGTTTTCAATATACAAGTCTTGCATTAGTTTTAATTTATTCTTAAGTATTTTTTTTCTTTTTGATGCTATTGTGTGTGGAATTGATTCCTTAATTTCCTTATTGGCTGGATCATTGCTAGTATAGAGATATGCAATTTTCTTTAATATATTGTTACTGTATCCTGTAACCTTGCTAAACCTATTTACTAGTTCTAATACTTTTTTTGCATGTATTTCTTAGGATTTTCTATATACAAAATCATATTGTCTATGAATAAGAACAGTTGCACTCTGTATTTCCAATACAGATACCTTTAAGTTTTTAAAATGTATTTATTTGTTTATTACCTATTGAACTGGCTGGAACCTTTAGTATAGTGATGGATAAAATGGGTTAAGGCAGCTATCCTTGCATTGTTCTCAATTCTAGGAGAAAAACATTCAGAATTTTATCATTAAGTATGATGTTGGTTTTGGTTTTTCATAGCTGCCCTTTATTAGTTTGAGTAACTTCCTTTCTGTTTCTAGTTTTTTGAAAGTTTTATTCATGAGTGGGTATTAAATGTGGTCACATATCTTTTCTGTATCCTTTGGGAAGAACATGTGGGTTTTGTCCTTTATTGTATTAATTTGGAGTAGTACATTACTTTATCTTCCCATGATAAACCAACCTGGCATTCCTGGGATAAATCCCCCTTAGCTGTTGTCTATAATCCTTTTTATATTATGCTGCATGTGTTTTGCTAATACATTGTTAACAATTTTTCACCTATATTCATGAAGAAGATTGCTCTATAGATTTTTTTTTTTTCTGTGATGTCTTTGTCTTGCTTTGGTATCTTAGTAATCCTGGCTTTATACAGTGAAGCCAGTTGAGAGTAGGCTTTTTTTGTGTGTGATGATTTTTAATTACTAATTCAATTTCTTTACTTGTTACATAGGTATTAAAAATTTTTTTTAAATCTTATTTCATTTTTGTTTCTTCCTAGGCATTTGTCCACTTCATCTAAGCCATATATACACACACACACACACACACACACACACACACACACACACACACACACCATTTTATACAATTTTTAAAGGTTACACTCCATTTACAGTTATTACAAAATATTGACCATATTCCCCATGTCGCATACCTTGTAACCTACCTTTATTTTGAATTTATTGACAGTTTTATACCCTAGTATATGGTCTTTCCTGGGGAATGTTCCATGTACTTTTGAAAAAATGTATATTTTGTTGCTGTTGAGTGTAGTGTTAAATAAATGTCACTTAAGTTGATTGATTATATTGTTCAAGTCTGCTATATCCTTGCTGGTTTTGTTTTTGTTTTATCATTATTGCCAACCAGGGAGAGCTCACCTAACTCTTAGTGTCCAGCGTTTTTACTGGGGCTCAGTGAACATAGACATGACTGGCTGAACTTAGTCTCCAGCCCCTCTAGAGGTCAAGCTGATACCATGTGGTCCAAGGGCCCTCACCATAAATTACATCATTAGCATAGACTATCTTGTATGGCCCAAGCCTCCCAGGTAAGCAAAGCCGTTCTTATCGGGTGGGGCATTCCAAGGGCTTATATGTTCCCTCTCAGGAACTGAGGGCAAAGCCAAACCTCTGTTGGGCAAGGTTAATCTTTTCATATACAAAGAGAAATAGACAATCTTAATGATTTGCTTAGTATGGTGGTCTTCAAAGTGAGGTATGGGGACTTCCCTGGCTGTCCAGTGGTTGGGACTTCACCTTCCAATGACGGGGGTGCTGGTTTGATCCCTGGTTGGGGAGCTAGGATCCCACATGCCTCGTGGCCAAAAAACCAAAACATAAAAATGGAAGCAGGGGTTTCCCCGGTGGTGCAGTGTTTAAGAATCTGCCTGCCAACGCAGGGGACAAGTGTTCGATCCCTGGTCTGGGAAGATCCTACATGCTGCGGAGCAACTAAGCCTGTGTGCCACAACCAGTGACCCTATGCTCTAGAGCCCGCGAGCCACAACTACTGAAACCCACACTCCCAGAGCCCGTGCTCCGCAACAAGAGGAGCCACCGCAATGAGAAGCCCGCACACTGCAAGGAAGAGTAGCCCCAGCTCGCCGCAACTAGAGAAAGCCCTGGCACAGCAACAAAGGCCCAACACAGATAAAAATTAATAAATAAATAAATTTAGTTTAAAAAAGAAGAAACAATATTGTAAAAAATTCAATAAAGACTTTAAAGAAAATGGTCCACATTATAAAAAACATTATTAAATATAATACTTAAAGAAAAAAAACTGCGGTGTGTGTACCTACTGAGCATATACTTTTGAATTGGTACCTGGGCACACATACTTTTTAAAGGCACAATGTCCAGATCCTTGGAAACTTCCATGTGACCTCTTCTGTAAACTTGATCTGTTTGAGCTTTCACCCGTGGCATCATGTTCTGCTGATTCCACTTTCCCGCCTTCCCTTTAATAGTCATGCCATTTCCTCTTCACAAAAGAAAGGCATACATTTCACACATTCAAAACCTTGTTTTATTGCCCCAGAGTATGAACGCCTCTGGGGCACCAAATAAAGGAACAGTTGGAAATATTGGGGTCCCTTATTTAAGGATAAGTGACAGCATCTGAGTCCATAGGGAATGTACACTCAAAGTCAATTTGCTCTCCAGCACACAGGTCCTGGCTCCCCAGGAGAAAGAGTGATCAAGTGAAGGAATGAGGGAAGAAAGAGGAGTTTCTTGGAGTTGGATATCATCATTTCTGAGGACATCTTTAACTGGACACCAAGATTTCTGTCTCTAAGAATTACATGGCAGATGCAGATGCAGAAGAAACAAAAGACAGAAGCCATGTTACTCACTATTTCCTGAGCATAGAAGAAGATGATCAAGGTCCAGGTGATTTTTGGTTTGTTATATCTTTCTTTTGTTGTCTAATGGATTTGTGGTGACCTGGAAAAAAAATCAGTTCAACTAAAAGAAGTATAAATTGGGGATAATGAGGTTCTAGGGAGAAATTAACTTAGACTCTGAATTCAAAATCAGGACAAAGTAGGTTCAGGAATATATCGTTCATAGGGGTCACATCAAGTGACTAATATTGGAAGATAATGTGTGACTGTGGTGGGCCCTGTGGGTTACATCAGCTGTCACTTTGCATTATCTCTGGCAGACGTCACAACCAGAGAAACACGAAAAGCTCCGTGGTATGTGTTGACTGAGGAAAAAGCAGACCAGCTTCTTGAGGGATTCAATGGTTTATGTCACTTAGGTGAATGGTATGATACTCCTAACAACATCGATAACTCTTAGGGGCTCCCCACTAGCCAGACTACCACTGGCCTGGAACCAGTTGAGCATCTAAAAGAAAGATGAGTGCAGCTGACTGAAGAACATCACCTATATAGCTATATAAAATTCCATGAGTTTATAGTCATACTCAAAAAAGCCAGCTACAAGATAAATAAGTACTAGGGATGTAATGTACAACATGGTGACTATAACTAACACTGCTATATGATATATAGGAAAGTTGTTAAGAGTAAATCCTAAGAGTTCTCAGCACAGGGAGAAAATCTTTTTCCTTTTTTTCTTTTCTTTTTATTGTATCTACATGAGAGAAGATGGATGCTAGCTGAACCTATTGTGGTAGTCATTTTGCAATATATGTAAATCACACCATCATGCTATATATCTAAAACTTATACAGTGATATATGTCAATTATTTCTCAATAAAACTGGAACAAAAAAACATTAGAGTTTGATAGAAATCAAATATTTGACGTTTGAAATGATGAAGTAACATAATCAAACCTATGTTTTGGGGAACAGTGGTGGAGATTCACTCTGAGTTTAAGAAATAGATTCAGTGTGAAATAATTCAAGCTTCACAGATAACAGATCAATACTCCTTGACCATGAATTACACTCATATATGAACCACCTCTGCAGGGTGAGCCACCATTTCATTTTTATGACATCCTCCAGCCTGTTTTCGGTGTACTGGAATTCTTTACATTTTGGTGTCTACAGGCCAGCTTACTTCTTTTTTACGTGATGCAATGAACACCAAATTATATATGTGTGATAATTTAATAATTCACATGCCGATGAATATTTAAATATTCTTGTTATTACAAACCATGTGGCATTAAACATTCTTGTTAATGGCTTTTTGTGAAATTGTATCTGTATTGCTTCAGAGTGGCCACAATCCCTTCCTCAGGTTTGATAATTTGCTCAAAAACTCACAGAACTCAGGAAACCACTTTTCTTAATTTACAGATTTATTTACTTACATTTACATGATACAACTCAGGAACAGTCAAATGGAAGAGACGCATAGAGCAAGGTATGGGGGTATGTCACCCTTCCAGTACCTCAGTGTGTTCACCAACTTGGAAACTTGTCAAACCTGTAGTTTTGGGTTTTTTTTTTTTAAGGTTTCATTACTTAGGCATGATTGATTAAATCATTGGCCATTGGTGATTGAACTCAGTCTCCAGCCCTTCTCCCCTCTCTGGAGGTTTTATCACATGGTTTGTTCCTCTAGCAACCAGCCCCCATCCCGAAGCTGTCTGGGTGCCCTCCCACTACCTGTCATGTCATTAGCATACAAAAAACACTTATCGGTGTGGAGATTCTAAGTGTTTTAGGAGCTAGGGTACCAGGAACCAGGGACAAAGACCAAATGTTTATTTTTGTATCATATCATTGCTGAGTACTTTGTTTCACAGTCTATCGTGTGGCTGCAATCAAGTTGTAAGCCCTAGGATGGGGTCTGATCTGAAGGTTCAAGTGGGGAAGGATGCACTTCTAAGCTCACTTACATGGTTGTTGGCAGAAGTCATTTCCAGAATTCAAATGAGATCCTCAGTTTCTACCTGTCTGCTCATGTAAGACCACTGAGTTCCTTGTCACATGGGCCCCCCTAACATGCCATCTTGTTTCATCAAAGTCATCAAAGGACAGATTCTGTTAGCAAGCTGGAAATCATATATAGCCTAATTTAAAAGGTGTATCTCATCACTTTTGCTCTATTCTTTTTTTTTTTTTTTAGAAACAATTCAGCCCATGCTCAAGGGAAGGGTACCTCACAGGGGCATGAATACCTAGTATGTAATAAGGAATTTGGCTGACTTTTATCTTTGATTCCTGGGAGGTAACTGCTAAACCCTTGGAATTACCCATGTGATAAGAGTGTCTTTGTTTTTCATCTTGGACCGCTGGGACCACACTTTATAGTTTATGCTATGAGATGACTCATGTGGGCCCTAGATGATTTGTGCTAATGAGCTAACTCAAGATGAGGACTGTCAATGCCAAAAAGACCAACCATGTGATTAGAGGGCTTGTGGCTTTCAGCCATATGTAACCAGTCTAGCCTCCAGGAAGGGGGAAGGACCTGCATTCAGCCATGTGGTCAGCGATTCAATAAATTATGCATATATAATGAAGCTTCAATAAAATCTCTGGACACTGAAGTTCAGGCGAGCTTCCTTGATTGGCAGTGCTCCTGAGGACTGTCACACAATGTGGCTGGGAGAAGATAATGCTGTCCAGGACTCCATGATGAGAGTCATGTGTTTCAATACCAATTGGCCTTCATGTCTGACCTTTCTGGCACAAAAATCAGAACTTTGAAGATAATATTCCTTTTTTTTTCTGAGTTCTATTGTTTCTGTTGTAGGTAATCTGTCTTTTGTCTCTGGATGCTTTTATAGTTTCCCTTCATATTTTGTGTATTATAGTTTTAGTCTGATGTGCCTATGTATAGACTTCATGCTTGGAATTTGTTGGGATACCTGAGTCTGAAGTTCAGAGTGTTTAATCAGTCTTGAAATTTTCACCTTTAGATCTTTGGATACTGCTTCTCCATTACTATATTTTCTCTTTGTTTTTGTTTTCAAATCTTCCTAATCAACTTTAATGGTCTTTTTTTTTTTTTTGCTGTGGATGTATCTTGTATAGTTTCTGGGTTTTTTTTTTTACATTTATTAAAAACACTCTTGTAAATTCTGGATGTGGAGGCTGTTCATGGTTGATTCTCATATTGGCTGTGAAGTTTCATGGTAATGTAGGAACACTTTATTTGTCCTGATATCATTTGCATATTTTTAGTATGCAAATGGAAATAGGTGCTAAAATATATAGATAGAAAGATAGGATTTTTCTTCTACTGAAATGTATTTGAGAAAAGTATATAGATGCAGGCTATACAGTGAAAATTAGAACAACTTCTCTCATGCTTCTTCCATATTGATAAAAAAAATTCCCATCATATTAAACTGGACTCTATTATTACAGGAATTGCTGACACTGGAGGATGTGGCTGTGGAGTTTAACTGGGAGGAGTGGCAGCTCCTGGATGCTGCCCAGAAAGACCTATACCGGGATGTGATGTTGGAGAACTTTAACAATTTGGTGTCACTGGGTAAGGACAGCTCCCTGTGTCACTTAGAGGTGCCCAGTCACTGGCCTTTTCTCCATCACCTGATGAAAGCTTTGCAGTCACTGTGGTCTTCCAAAGAGTTAGATTTTCAGTCCCCTGTCTGGCCCCAAACAAAAGGGTATAAATCTCCTGTATGCTGAAGGAGAACTCTTACTTTGCATACAAGAAATTTTGTCTCTAAAATGCAGTATTTTCCCATCTTGACATACTGTACCCCAGTCCCTGTATCTAAGTCTTCTATCATTTCTCATGAACAGGGTATCAAGCTACCAAACCAGAATCACTCTCCAAGTTGGAACATGGAAAAGAACCATGTATAATAGAAAACAAAATCCAGAATAGAACCCATCCAGGTGAGTGAGGGAGAACCAGCAAGGGGAGTGGTCAGGGAGGTCATATTCTAGTCATTAAGAGAAGGAGTCACAGCTGTGATGGTGACCGAGGCCCCCACAACAGCTGCTCCATATATTCATCTCCCCAGATGAGCACTCTTTCTTTGTGGGTATTTAGCTTTAAATATATTCCTTGTCTCTTCTTGGATCTGATATTTATTTCCTCTTACATCTTTATAATTTTGTACTGGGATCATATGGTAGACAATAAAAATCCAATCCCCCCACTATATATCATCTTTTAAGCACTTTCATTCCATTTTTCCTAGGAATCAGGAAAGTTGACAGTCATCTGCCAGAGCACTCTCAAGACCAAAGATTTCCAAAGAGCCTGCAACAATACAGTGAACAGAATGCATTTAGAAAGAGTGTTCATCTGAGCAAAACTCGTTTAGCCCTAACACAAAATCATACGTTTGACTTATGTAAAAAAGCTTGGAAATCAAGCTTATGTTTAGTTAACCAGAAGAGAAGATATGAAATAAAGAACCCTGTGGAGTTTAATGGAGATAAGAAATTCTTTCTACATGGTGATCGTGAACAGTTGTATTCTGGAATTGAATTTCCTGAAAGTATAAAACACATCATTGCCAAGTTCCAAGTCCTTAAGCATCAGAGGACTCACAAAATAGAGAAATCCCAGGCCTGCGTTGGAAGTGAGAAAACATGCATCAGGAAATCTCAGCTTATTTCTCAGGAGAGCATTCATATAGGAGACAAACTCCATCAGTGTGATCTGTGTGAGAAATCCTTCTCCAGAAATGTCATGTTCACTAAACATCAGAAACCTCAAACACGAGACAAACCCCATTTAACCAGTGGATGCAGAAAAGTCTCTACTGTGAAGAGCAGTCCCACTGTACATCAGCAAACCCAAACAGGAGAGAAATCTTATATGTGCAGTGAGTGTGGAAAAGGCTTCACAGTGAGGCGCTATCTGATTGCACATCAGCGAACTCACAGTGGAGAGAAACCTTATGTGTGCAGTGAATGTGGAAAAGGCTTCACTGTGAAGAGCAATCTCATTGTGCATCAGCGCACTCACACAGGGGAGAAACCCTATGTATGCAGTGAGTGTGCGAAAGGCTTCACCATGAAGCGCTATCTTGTTGTACACCAGCGAACTCATACTGGAGAGAAACCATATTTGTGCAGTGAATGTGGGAAAGGCTTCACCGTGAAGAGTAATCTCATCGTACATCAGCGATCTCATACAGGGGAGAAATCTTACATATGCAGTGAATGTGGGAAAGGCTTCACTGTGAAACGCACTCTCATTATACATCAGCGAACTCACACGGGAGAGAAATCTTACCTATGTAATGAATGCGGGAAAGGCTTCACCACAAAGCGCACTCTTGTTATACATCAGCGAACTCACACGGGAGAGAAACCCTATGAATGCAATGAGTGTGGTAAAGCCTTCAGCCAGAAGATATGCCTCATACAACATGAGAGGTGTCATACAGGAAAGACGCCCTTTGTATGTACTGAGTGTGGAAAATCCTATTCCCACAAGTATGGTCTCATTACCCATCAGAGAATTCACACAGGAGAGAAACCCTATGAGTGCAGTGAATGTGGAAAAGCCTTCACCACGAAGTCAGTACTCAATGTACATCAAAGAACTCACACAGGAGAAAGACCATATGGATGCAGTGATTGTGAGAAAGCCTTCTCCCACTTGTCAAACCTTGTTAAACATAAGAAAATGCACATAAGAGAAATGAGTAGATTCGGTCAAGTTGGAAATTCCTTTAACAGAGAGTCACAGCTCATTACTTACGATTGAACAAGAGCCCCATTAATGCAGTGACTGGAGAAATGCCTTCTGTGGCAGCTAAGACTTTGTTTAAACACCAGTGTTTCTAGCAGAGCAGAACAGTACTACCTGTTACCAGATGTGTGCCCTGAGGAGATGAAAGGATTTGCGCAGGAGATAAACCTGGTGAATATAGTGAATGTGGTAGTGCCTTTAGTGATCCTTACCTCACATTTTCTGTCAATGAAAACATGTTGGAAAAACTCTGATACATTCAGTGCAGAGATGCCTTGGGCAAAACTTTCTGACTTCATTATATGTCTGAAAAGTATATACTCTATATTCTCTGACAAATTCTGTGAATGCAGAGACTAGGAAAGTCTTCAGTGGGAAGACAGACTTTCTTATCAGGGATCTTCATTGATCATCAGTGAGTTCATTGTTCATAGAAATATGATTTAAAAAAAAAAAAAAGGAGATATGATGACCACGGGAATGTCTTTCCCCCAGAAAGAAGACCTCAGTGAGTGTCAGAGTTCACACTGGAGAAAAACTTTTAAGAGGATAGTATATATGGCAGGATTTCAGTCATACATTCTGCCTCATCATTTGTCAGGAAATCATATAGAAATTAAAACCTTTATGAACATGCTAAAGATAGAGCATCTTTAGTTAAATATCAGAGGACTTAAAAAGGAATGAAGTTCTGTGAAAATGATAAATGTTTGAGTGCTTTTTGTTACAAATCTAACCTCATCATATATCAGATAATGCACCTGACTATCCTTTCTGGCCTTGTCAGTAATTCCATAGTTTTAAAAAGAAGTCTGCTTTTCTCATCACTGATTTTTATTGTTATATATGATGCAAGAGTGTTCTATGCCTACCCTCATATGTGATTAGCTCTTACTTTTCTTCAGCTATAAACATAATTGTAAATTTAGCATACTGAACTTCTTTGAAAGGAAACTGAATATGAACATGTACTTGCACTTGCTTAACTATGTTTATAAATATGACCAAATAGTTTACAAAACCACCTTCAAAGTTATTTTTATAAAATTTATAATTTGAAATCATTTTAACTTATAAGAAAATGCAAAAGTAGTCCAGAGAATTCCCTAGTATCCTTTCTGCAACTTCTTCTAGTAAAAACATTTTATGTAACCATATTTTAATATTGAACCCAGAAAAATGATATTGGTAGTATACTGTTAACTCCTAACCTTTGGAGTTTAGATTCCACTAGATTTTACATGAATTTTTTAATCATTTTTTTGGTAATTCTAAGGTGCTTTATTACATATATAGATTTCATTGTAACTGTCATCTCCAGGACGTACAACTGTTTTATCAACACAGACACCCTCATGCTACCTTTTTATGCTCACGTCCTCTATCCAAACCTACCTCTGGTAACCACTTGTCTGTTTTCCATCAATATAATTTTGTCATTTATGAATGTTATCAAAACAATTTTTATAACTGGATTTTATATAAATAAGTTATATTTATTTATACAAATTTACAATTTCTTATTAATGAGGAACATGTAAGCTTTTTGGTTTTTTTTTTTTGGTCCCTCAGCAAATTGCCATTAAGACTTATTTGAGTTGTATTGTTTTATTTTTATTAGTGAGTAGTATACATACTGGATGTATTAGTTTATCAATTCACTCTTCAGAGAAGTTTGTTTTGTTTCCTGGTTTCAACTGTTATAGGGAAAGATGCTGTAAATTGGCATCTGGGGTTTTGTGTGAACATAAATTTTCATTCCTCTATAATAAATATTCAGGTGTGTGCTTATTAGGACATATGGTAAGTTGTGTTTAGCTTTAAAGGGAACTACCAAACTCTCTTCCAGAGTGGCTATACCATTCGACATTCTCACCAGCAGTATATGAAATCCACTTGTTCCACATCCTCTCCAGCACTTGGTATTTTCAGTATGTTTTATTTTAGCCAGTCTACTAGCAATAGATGAAAGATTCAATTGCTCTTCATCCTTGTCAGCACTTGGTATTGTCCTATCTTACATTACTCATTCTATTAGGTTTGTGGTCGTATCTGATCTTGAGCTTAACCTGCATTTCCCTCATGGCTAACAACGCTGTTATTGTTATTATCATTATCATCATCATTTTTGGACTTACTTATAACTGGAAATTTGTACCTTTTGACCACCTTCACAATTTCCACTATTCCACCCCGTTCCAGCCTCTGGCAACCACAATCTGTTCTTTATTATCTACAAGTTTGGGGGGTTCTGGATTCTACAAATAAGAGAGATCATACAATATTCGTCTTTCTTGGCCTGATGTATTTCACTTAGCAAAATGCCCTCAATGTCGCAAATGGCAAGATTTCCTTCTTTTTATGGTTGGATAATATTCCATTGCATAAATACCACGTTTTCTTTATCCATTCATCTGTCAATAGACATTTAGGCTTTCCATGTCATGGCTATTGTAAATAGTGCTGCTGTGAACATTTGGGCTGCACGTTATCTTTTAAAATTAGAGTTTTCAAAAAAAATTAGAGTTTTCTTTTTTTTCTGGATATATATACCCAAGAGTAGACTTGCTGAATCATATGGTACTTCTATTTTTAATTTTTTGAGGAACCTGTATACTGTTTTTCATAGTAGCTGTACCAATAACAATCTTCACTCTTTTTATGTCTCCATAGTGTTTATGAAGAGACATCCCATGATTTATTTAACCCATCACCTACTAATGTACAGTCATATTGGTATTAGTTACCTTTGACTGCATTACAAACCTACCTCTCTAAAACTTAATGTCTAAAGACAACAAACATTAATTATAATAAATATTAATTGTTATGTGGGTTGACGGTTGGACTGTCTGGTGTACGCTGTCCTGACTGGGGGCTACATGCTCTAGGTGGCTTTTTTGATGTATCTGAGCCTCCCCTGGAATGGTTGAGGCCACTTTTCACATAGTCTCTCATCCCAAGGCTAACCTGGGCTGTATTACAATGTGTCAGAAGAGCTCCAAGAGACAAACAGAACATACCTCAGTGGGCAAGTCTATTTCTATCCTCGGTGTCAAGCTTGCTATTATCCCATTGGACACATTGGTCACAGTTACTGTGCAGGAGCACTATCCAGAGGTGTGAATGCAAGATGCAATAAGTTTTTGTAACAATCACAAGATTATTTATTTCCTTAAAATTGTCAAAATTGATGCCATGAATATCCTTGTACATGTTTGTTCTCACAAAAATAATTTCTACTGAATTTCAATTCTTAAAATTGATTGGTGGCTCTAAGACAAAAGTTTAAATTGGGTAATTGCAAGTTGTACTCCAAAAACATTTTATTAATTTTTATACTCTAGACTCAATCCTGCCCCCCTAAAAAACATACCAAACGTCTAGCACCTAAAATTTATTGGTGTGCATTTTTTGAACTAGAACTATGACAAGCTTGATAATAACATCAATTCATTCAAAGCTGTATGTGGTGGACACCTCTTATCTACTGTGCAGATGAGAGATGAAATCCAATAGAATGAATATTATTCATCATTCACTCTTCAATGAATTTGAATATTAGTAAGACTGATATTATAAAAATTAAGTATTGCGATTTTTAAAAATAAGTGGCCAGTATATTATTTAGCTATTAAAATTTTTAGGTTGGCCTGGACTTCCCCAGGCCAGTGGCGCAGTGGTTAAGAATCCTCCTGCCAATGCAGGGAACATGGGTTCAAGCCCTGGTCCTGGAAGATCCCACATGCCGCAGAGCAGCTAAGCCCATGCGCCACAGCTACTGAGCCTGCGCTCTAGAGCCTGCCAGCCACAGCTACCAAGCCCACGCGCGGCAACTACTGAAGTCCGCACACCTAGAGCCTGTGATTCACAACAAGAGGAGCCACTGCAATGAGAAGCCAGCGCACCGCAATGAAGAGCAGCCCCCACTCGCCACAAGTAGAAGAAAGCCTGCGCGCAGCAACGAAGACCCAACGCAGCCAAAAATTAAAAAATATTTAAAAAGTAAAAAAAAATTTTAGGTTGGTCATCTTTTTCTTATTCCTTTTAAAATCTCTTTATAACAAATCCTAGTGAGGAATCAGAGAAAGTGGATCTCATATATCGATGGTGGGAATGTAAAATGATCCCTTGAGTCTGGAGTAGTTTAGACATTTCTGTTTCAATACACTCATATCTATCTCACACACACACACACACACACACACACACACACACACACACACGGCATTTCCTTTCCTTTTCCTCCATTCTTCCAACGGGTTTATTTGGAACCACAGTTACGGTGTTACATTACTATGACTTTGTAATGCTATTTGCAACTGACTCACGTAGTGTAACATGATTACTCTCTTTTTTTTACACAACATTTTATTCTCCTTGAAGTCATATTTCCCTAATTTTTGACCCTTGGTCTTCTGAGCCCTGCATTTGTCTTTGGACCCCAAAGGGAAAGCTTCCCCCCTCTGTCATAGGTACCGCCCTTCACATTGGGCCCACCTTCAATGGCCTTTCCCCCATACATACGAACAGCTTTAGCACGTTCCAGCTGTTTGTATTTCCTAACCTATGGCCGCCATCCCTGTAACGTCAGAGCTTCTCCAAGCCCTGTGCCGTTCAAAAGTCCCTTCAGGCCAATTTCTCTAGAATCTTGGCCCAGATATCCTCTACCGGACGGTTCACCTTTTCCCAAACGCGAGTTGTGCTGTACGGATTCCTCCACTTCCTGTAAGATGGCTGCCCCCACTGGGCCGTTTCCTAACTTCCGTACAAAGTGGATCAACCTCACTGCCATTTAAATTTTCTTGCCAGCTCGCAGAAAGGGATTTACCCCCATGCCTTTCTTGTTTGCTGCAAGCTCGAGCTTATGCGCATATGTCCTTTTTTATTAAGGGTTCAGGTGCCCCAGAATTGACAGTTTCGGTGACCTTCCGTCTTCCCAGTCTTCCCCGCGGACGAGCGCAAAACGGGGCTCTTCGCTCTTCAGACGCCCGATGCCCAAACATGGCCGCGCCCACTGGGCCACGCTAGAGGGCGCGGCCAAGTTACCTCTGAAGAGAAGTCGGAAATTCAGTTGTCTTTTTGCGGCAGAAACGTCTCAGACCCTCGTTGGCCACCGTACCGCGGTGATGAGGGAAGCGACGAAGTTCCGCGAAGTAAGTTCAGCCGTGGATGGGTCGCGATCGTCCCTGGAGGAAGTCAAGTTAGTGGCTGGGTCTCTTCGTGTACAGTGGGGAGGGACGGCGGGCCTGTCAGCGTCCGCGTTGGGTGATGCGTGTGGAATACAAGCGGGAGGACAGCGTGAATGCGTGTTCTTTTCCAGGGGAGTCCTAAAGTGTGGGTAACAGTGTATGTGTGGTTGGGGTACTTCTGGCTTCAGTCAGGAGATTCTCTTGTGGTTAGTGGTTAAAGATCCCTAGAGGTCAGCGATTTAGTCGCGAGGGCACGTGTTGGGGTCTTTGCCGTTTACTCTCTGTAGGGCTCAGTGACTGCGAACTGGAGAGTGGTGTTTTTCAGTGAATGCTGTTTATGGTTCGGGTTTTGTTTGGGGCTAAAAGATGGAGTATCTGTTTCGGGGTTAATGGACGGGAGTCTCTGAGATTAACCCGGGTGGTGGTAGTAATCGTTTGGGGTACAGATGCGTGTATGGGCTGATACTTTGGAGGCCCGAGTACTTTGGCCGCTGCGTGTTGCGTGTTTTGAGCTCCAACCTCGGCCTCTGTAACAGATGTGATGGACATTAACGTTACCCTTCTGCCGTTTAGGTCGGTCCGAGTCCTTTCTTCACCACTAGTTTTAAAATCCTCTTTGGCACCCAACATCACCCCTTACTCTTAAACTCTCAGAAATAAAGGTTTTGGGCGAGATGAATGATCCAGAGATCCACCAGATGAATATCTAATAGCAGTATGTTTTACGATATGTAAGATGCAGCTTTTATCCTTTGTCCTACAAGACTCCTGCACATTCCTCTTGGATATTTCTTTTCAGATTCTGTCTAAAACCAGTAAAATAACATCTCTGTCACCGTGAGTTCTGTTCCCAAAGGAAAATGCTTATAAAATTTTAGTGTATTTCAGTTTTAGGCGTTTATATTATGGCCTTAATATTCATAATTCAGATAAATTGTGTAAATGGTACTATGATTTTCTCTTTCACTTTATTTCATGGAATATAGATTTACAAATTATTTTAAATGCGTGAACTGGTGGTATTATAAGTAGGTTTATATTCAGTGATTGCATACATCTATATAGAGGTGAAATATTTAAAATACTTAGGTGTCATTTTTTGGAACATTTTATGATTATGCATTTACCTATGGATTTGTTCCCTTGCCTTTCATCTCCAGCCTAGACTACTTATTTTTATTGCAATTGTAAACGTATTATTATTTGCTAACTCCCGTTTCCTTATAATTTTTTACAACATAAAAGAGCAGTTGACTTTATTTATTCATTTATTTTTGGCTGATTTTTAAAAAATTGAAGTATAGTTGATATACAATATCGTGTTTCACGTGTGCAGCACATTGATTCAGTTATATATGTATATATAGATATCTTTTTCAGATTCTTTTCCCTTCTAGGTTATTACAAAATACTGAGTATAGCTCCCTGTGCTATACAGTAGGTCCTTGTTGCTTATCTATATTACATACAGTAGTGTGTGTGTGTTAATCCCATCCTCCTAATTTAACCTCTCCCCACGCCCCCCAGCAACTAACTTTTTTTTTTTTTTTTTTTTTTTGGCGGTACGCCGGCCTCTCACTGCCGCGGAGCACAGGCTCCGGACGCGCAGGCCCAGCGGCCATGGCTCACGGGCCCAGCCGCTCCGCGGCATGTGGGATCTTCCCGGACCTTCCCAGACCGGGGCACGAACCCGCCTACCCCGCATCGGCAGGCGGACCCCCAACCACTGCGCCACCAGGGAAGCCCATAACTTTAAATATTTATGTTTGGTCATCTTACTAAATTCTTAAATCTACAACATCTTTCTTTCCACCCAACATTTTAGTGTGAAAATTTTCAAACATACAGAAATATTGAAAGGATTTTATATTAACCACCCATGTACCTACCACTTAGGTTTTATTATTAATAGTACTAGACTTGCTCTACCAGTTAGTTACCTAACCCTCTGTCCATCCTTCTGTTCATGTATCAGTCTTTTGTTGTTGTTGGTTTTGGTATATTTCCAAGTAAGTTGCAGACCTCTACCATTACTTTAAATACTTATTCAATCACATGATTAAAGTTCTACTAACAGCCTTTTACTTGTTTCCTTTCTTTATGTAATGAACAGACATCTTATTTACAAATAATTTTGGCCTGGTGTGGAGTGAAAATTAATTTCGGAGCGAGATGAATCTGGTTTTTCAATCCAAATTCTGCCTCCTGCTCATTGTGCAGTTTGTGTGACCTCTTGTCTGTTTCCGTCTTAGAAAAAAAGAAAAGAAAAGCGATTAAAATCTCTCCCTTAGAGTTATTTTGAAGATTCAAAATACCTTAAATAATGAACTGTGATGGCAGATGCATAGCATATCTGAGTAAAAAAGCTGCTAATTTCCCCATATTTGTGGCTTTGTGTTTTGTAAAATTTGTATTTATAACTCATTTTCTCTCTCCCTGCTTTCCTTCTTGTTTTCCCTCTCTATTTTTTTGGAAATAAAACTTCGAAAGCCATGAACTTATATTAATGACCATGCTACAGCAATTTTATTTAAAGTGTAGAATCCTGATATTTCTCTGATTTTTTTTTTTTTTCTTCTTTTTTGGCTGCATCAGGTCTTAGTTGTGGCGCAGGCTCTTCGTTGCAGCGTGCAGGATTCTCTCTAGTTGCGGCCTGCGGTTTTTCTCTAGTTGTGGTGCGCAGGCTCCAGGGCGCCTGGGCTCTGCAGTCTGTGGCACGCGTACTCTAGTTGAGGTGCACGAGCTCAGTAGTTGTGGCGCGCCGGTTTAGTTGCTCCGCGACATGTGGGATCTTAGTTCTCTGACCAGGGATTGACTCTACATCCCCTGCATTGGAAGGCGGAATCTTTACCACTGGACCACCAGAGAAGTCCCCTCTCTGATTTTTAAAATATACATGCTCTTATGAAAATATAGTGAAGAAAGTAAAAATGACCTGTCAAATATCACACCTTTGCCAATATTTCCCTTTCAGAGATTCTTAGAAATGGATTTTTAGGTTACCAGTTGATAGTTTCATTGATCATTTTCGCTTGAATGTTAAATTATTCCCAGGAAACGTTCTTTTTAAACAGACACTTGACCTGTGTGTCCTTTGAATCGTATAGAATTTTTCCATTTTAATTTTGTAACCAGCCTCCTGACTAAACAGAGGTATAGACATATTAGGCAAATACAATTTGCCTCTCCTTATATTCAAAACTCACCTTTTATTATTATTTTTTCAAATTGCATTGCAGTGGGCAATGTATCCAAACTCAGATTCTCAACCCTGCTATTATAGTGTAAAAACAGCCTAAGACAATAGTCAACAGATGCGTCTGGCTGTGTTCCCATAAACCTTGATTTGTAATAACAGGTGGTCCAGGCCCTGGAGAGTCTGTTACTGACTCTTGATTTAGATGATCATATGGCTTTTCTGCTCCAGTTCAGGGTTGGACACCTGGAGCCCATGGATTAACTCTGGCCCAGTGCCTGTTTTTGTTAATAAAGTTTTATTGGAACCTAGCACACTTATTTTTTTGTTTTTTAAATATGGCTGTTTTTTGGTCACATTGCTTGGCATGTGGAACTTGCCCATCCAGGGATGGAACCCATGCCCCCTGCAGTGGAAGCATGGACTAATAACCACTGGACCACCAGGGAAGTCCAAAAGTATGACTGCTTTTGAGCTACAATGGTAGAGTTGAGTAATTACCACAGAAGCCATGTACATTACATTTTCTGTCTCTTTTAACATAGAAATTATGTATGTTTTTAAAAGTTATTAGTTTTATTCTGACACCAGAGATTACAAATAATATACAGCCTTTATTTGTCAAAGTATTACTGTAATTAGTACGTTTATACTCTATCTATACAGAGATCTTAGAACACTCATTCATTTACCCACCTCATAATTTATATGCTATCATGGTAAATTTTAACTCTATTTTTTAAAATTAAATTTATTTATTTATTTATTAATTTTGCCTGCATTGGATCTTCATTGCTACTCGCGGGCTTTCTCTAGTTGTGGCGAGTGGGGGCTACTCTTCCTGCAGTGCGTGGGCTTCTCACTGTGGTGGTTTCTCTTGTTGTGCAGCACAGGCTCTAGCCGCGTGAGCCCAGTAGTTGTGGCACACGGGCTCAGTAGTTGTGGTGCACAGGCTTAGTTGCTCTGCGGCATGTGGGATCTTCCCGGACCAGGGCTCGAACCTGTGTCCCATGCATTGGCAGGTGGATTCTTAACCACTGTGCCACCAGGGAAGTGGTGATTAACTGTCTATATTTTTAAAACCTCCTGAGATATGATCATTTTCCCAGCTGGTACTAATTTAGACTTAACTGCTTATTTACCAGTTTAGTTCCTTTTCATTCCTTGGTCCTCTGCTAACATTGGAGGACCCTTTCCTTTTGCTTGAAGAACATGTGCATTTGCTGTATTACAGGTCTTCTGATGAAGAATTCTCCCTGGTTTTGCCTGAAAATGTTTTTTTTTAATTGAAGTACAGTTGATTTACAATGTTGTGTTAGTTTCAGGTGTACAGCAAAGTGATTCAGTTGTACGTACATATATATCTATTTTTTTTCAGATTCTTTTCTCCTACAGTTTATTACAAAATATTGAATATAGTTCCCTGTGGTATACAGTACGTCCTTGTTGGTTATCTGTTTTATATATAGTTGTGTGTATATGATAATCCCAAACTCCTAATTTATCCTTCTCCCCCCCCGACCCCTGAAAATGTTTTTATTTCAGTTTTATTCCTAAAGGATTTTTCGCTGAGTATCCTTTATAGGTTTATGCTTATAATACTCTTATCGAGGATCAAGAAGTGGATGGTAATGAGAAATTACGTGACGGTGCTTCTTGTTTGCTTAACATGATGTTCTTCAAATTTGAGTGTGCGAACCCTGGGATGTAAAAAGACTTCTGAAGAGGTACGTGGACGCACGTGGTTTAAAAGAAGAAAAATGTGTATATCCTGTCTGTGTGTCCTCTTTCCTAAAGTTGATCTACCTGTGGATTTCCCTGCCAGTGGGGCACTGTGCTGTGCTGGTTCTCCTTCCCACATCCCCTTTCACAGTCTTACCGCTTCCACTTTACAAGAGAAAGATGTACTTCCCAAATATTCGGAATGTTGTGTTTTATTGGCCCAGATGTAAAAGCTTCGTATTAAAAGGACCAATCGATCTTTGGGGGCCTTAATTTAAGATGAGTGGCCAGCAACACTGACAGCATCTAGGCCGAAAGAGAATGTACCACTCAGAGTAAGTTGCTCTTCAGCCCACAGGTGCTGGCTCCCCAGGAACAAGAGGGATCAAAGGAAAGAAGGAGGAAAAGACTCTGAGACTTAAGTACTGTCAGTTCTGGAGACATCCTTGATTGGAGACTGAGATTTTTGAACAGAAATTTACAGCTGATCCAGAAGAGCTAAAGACAGCATCCCAGTTTGCCGCCATTTCCCAAAGTCAGAAGAAAATGATCCAGGCCCAGGTGACTTTTGGTTTCTTTATTCTTTCTTTATTCCCCAGTGGCTTTGCCTGTAAAAGTCCGTGCAGTTAAGTAGAAAAGTTTAAATGGATCCTAGCAGGATCTGGAGAAATCTTGGTAAAGTTAGATCAGGAACGTATTATTCATAGGATTCATATGCTGTGACTCGCATTGGGATATAACATGTGATGTGCAAAATCCTGTGAGTTATATTAGCTGTCAATTTGTGTCTAATGTCTCTGACAGCCATCACAAAAGAGTCATAAGTTACATGATAGGCAGTACTACAAACTGTTTCTACTCCCAGCACTTCTGGCACCAAATGTGTGGGTCTTTCCAGACCAACAATCCCTTCTCCAAACCTCTAGATACCAGCTGAGCGTCTACAATTTAATTCAATTACGACATTAACTACTGCACTTACTGTCAGTCTCCACAGGTTTAAGGGCTCAATCCCACAGGACTGCCCTCACTTTGGATGCCAAGTATTGGCTTCCCACAGTACCTATACTTCTGACTTGGCTGCACATCGGGGGTTCCTGAAATCCCTTCCTCAGGTTCCATAATTTACTGCAACGGTTCACATAACTCAGGAAAAGACTTTGCTTACCTATACTGGTTCATTATGAAGGATACAGCTTGGGAAGAGCCAAATGGAAAGATACTTAGGCAAGATGTGAGGGAAGGGACAAGGACCTTGCATGCCCTCTATAGGAGTGTCACACCCCCAGCACCTAGATGTGTTCACCATCCCGGAAATGCTCTGAGCCCTGTAGTTTAGGGGGATTTTTATGGAGGTCTGATTGGGTAGGTGTGGTAGATTAAATCAGTGGCCATTGTTGATTGGCTCAGTTTCCAGTCCCTCCCCCCTCCCTGGAGGGCTAGAAGTGGGGCTGAAAGTTCCAACCCTCTAATCACAAGGTTTGTTCCCTGGGCAACCAACCCCCATCCTGAAACTCTCTAGAGGTCCACCAAGACTCACTTTGCTAGTATAAACTCAGGTATGTTTGAAAGGGACTTGTTATAAATAACACAGAATGCCCCGTACTTCTATTACTTAAAAAACTCCAAGGGTTTAGGAGAAATTGTGTTAGAAACTGGGGCTGAAGACCAAATACATGTTTCTTATTATATCACATAACATAGGGATCAACTGTGAGGGAAAAGCAGACCAGTTCCTTGAGGGATGTTAATGTTTCATGGCACATGGGTCTCAAGTTCACATAGGACTTTGACGGTTCTCCATAGAGGTGATGTGCTGGGTCCTTAACTGCAGTCCTTGACTGTCCTAACTTCTTTTCTTTTTGAATAAATTTATTTATTTTTGTTTATTTATTTTTGGCTGTGTTGGGTCTTCGTTGCCATGCACAGGCTTTCTCTAGTTGCAGCGAGTGGGGGCTACTCTTTATTGCGGTGCACCTGCTTCTCACTGCGGTGGCTTCTTTTGTTGTGGGGCACGGGCTCTAGGGCTTCAGTAGTTGTAGTTTGCGGGCTGTAGAGCACAGGCTCAGTAGTTGTAGCACATGGGCTTAGTTGCTCCACAGCATGTGAGATCTTCCCGGATCAGGGATCGAACGTGCGTCCCCTGCATTGGCAGGCATATTCTTAACCACTGTGCTATTGGGGAAGTCCCTGTCCTTTCTTCTTATAAATGTAAAAACGTGTTTCCTACAGCTGTTTCCTCATTTCATCTAATATGGTATTAACCCCGCCTAATGATATACACACATATATGTGCATTGTCTCTGTCTATATATATATATATTCTTTAAAGAATAGTCTTCTTATAAATTTGATCATCTAATAATCTTTTTTTTGGACTTTTTATTCTTTTTTTGTTTTTTAAATTTTTTATTGAAGTATAGTTGATTTACAATGTTCTGTTAGTTTCTGGTGTATAGCAAAGTAATTCAGTTATATGTATTCATATTCTTTTTCATTATGGTTTATTAGAGGATATTTAATAAAGTTCCTGATCATCTAATAATCTTTTATGCTTTATACATGTTTTGTACAGTTTTTTTTTCTTTTCTTTCTTTACTTTTATTTATTTATTTATTTTTGGCCACTTGGCTTGTGGGATCTTAGTTCCCCAACCAGGCATTGAACGCGGGCCACCACAGTGAAAGTGAAAGCACCGAGTCCTAACCACTGGACTGCCAGGGAGTTTCCTGTACAGTTTCTCTTATTTTGTTTAGTATGTTGACCACTGAAATTAGTATGTATTGTCTTCATCTACTTGTAAGTAGCATATAGTTTGATATTAGTGAATGCTTGTGAGAGATCAGAAAATATGTATTGGTCTCTGCCCCCTGTTCCTGGCACAGAGCTCCTAAAACCCTTGTGATTCCCTAAGTGAAAAGAACACTAGGAACATCTCCTGTTCTAATATTGGTCTTTGACCTCTGTTCCTGACACAGGGCTCCTGAAACTCTTGTCATTTCCTTGGTGACAGGAGTGACTTTGTTCTACCGAGGTGACTCTGAGTGAGCTCCTGGATGAGGGCTGGTAACAGGAAAGACCAAGCCATGATGAGAAGCTTGGCATTTTTAACCCTGCCTTACGCATCTATTCCATCTGGAAGACTGTACCATAACATAGTATTTTACTAGGATTCTTATTTTATCACAGCATAAGAAGTAAAAACCCCACCAATTTCCTATATGGCAAAAGTGAACAGAATAATTTCCTTTACATTTTTCCATGTCACCCAAAGAACATCACTTGGCCAAACGTGACTGTGTTATGACAGGAATCCCTGACGTATGACGACGTGGCTATGAAGTTCACATGGGAGGAGTGGCAGCTCCTGGACCCTGATCAGAAGGACCTGTACCGGGATGTGATGCTGGAGAACTATAGCAACCTGCTGTCCATAGGTGAGGATGGCTCCCCTGGGTCCCTCAGAGGGTGCCTGTCAGTGGCCGTTCCATTCTCAGCCTCTTAACTCTTCAGACTAACTGCATTCCTCTGCAATGGTCGAGTCTCAGATCCTTCTCTTGCCCCAGACTAGAGGGTATAATAGCCCCTCTCCTGAGAGAAAAGCCTTGAGGTTACAGATGTGAAACCTGTTTATTCCCTCCATGTACCATTATCCCTTCCTGCCGTATCCCAGCCCAGTTCGGTATGTCTAAGTCTTCTATCATTTTTCATGAACAGGGTATCGAGCCAGCAAACCAGATGCTCTCTCCAGTTTGGAACGAGGAGAACAACTGTGGCCAGTAGAAGATGACAGCCATGGTCGAATCTGTCCAGGTGAGTGGGTGAGACCCAGCAAGGTGGGCAGCCACGGAAGTCGTACTCTGGTCAGGAGAGAAGGCGTCAGAGCTGTGATAGTGTCTGAGGAAACATAAGCAGCCCTACCACGTACCTCTCTTCCAGTGTAAGAACTCTTTTTCTTTGTGGAAGTTAAGAGGAAAATATATCCCTTTGTTTTCTTCTGAGATCTGATCCCTGCTTATTTCTAAACCATGAGTGTTGTTTTTTTTTAATTGTGTCTTTATTATTTATTTATTTATTTTCAGTTTTAAATTTTTGGCTGCGTCGGGTCTTAGTTGCGGCACGCAGGATCTTCCTTGTGGCGCACGGGCTCTTCGTTGTGGTGCGCAGCCTTCTCTCTAGTTGTGGCGTGTGGGTTTTCTCTTCTCTATTTGTGGCGCGCAGGCTACAGGGCATGTGCACTCTGTAATTGTGGTGTGCGGGCTCCAGAGTGAGTGGGCTCTGTAGTTTGTGGCACGCGGGCTCTAGCTGAGGTGTGCAAGCTCAATAGCTGTGGCACTCGGGCTTAGTTGCCCCATGGAACATGAGATCTTAGTTCCCTGACCAGGGATCGAACCTGCTTCCCCTGCAATATAAGGTGCATTCTTTACCACTGGACCACCGGGGAAGTCCCTGATCCCCGCTTATTTCATATGCATCTTATTTTTGTTTGTTTGTGTAGTTTTCTTCTTGCTTGGATTTTCAAATCTTCCTCTCCTTCGTTTACCATCACAAGATCTCTGTCTGTGTTACCGCCTCTCTTGCTGTGAAATCCCACTTTCCAGGCCTCTCTGGAAAGAGAACTTTGAGTTCATCATACTCTTCTTACCACTGTACCTTCTTCCTGCCGTATGAGGAAATAACAATTTCCCACCAAAACATGCAGCCCCACCTTGGATGCTGTGTCCCCATGATAACCTGGTTTCTGCTGTACATTTCTGTGGTTCTTTGGTCCCCACCCCCTTCCAGGTTTTCCATACTTTCATTTCCATTTTCTTCTCAGTTCTCATAAGTCTTAAAAGTTTCTTCCATTCCCATGAGTTAAGCTCTTTCTGTTCTCTGAAAGAGACGCCCCAAATTGACTTCTCTCTTAATATTGTCTAATGTACAATTTCTTTCTATGTATTTTATTCTTCATCATGGCAGCTGGCCTGTGACTTCCTAGTTTGTGTGTGAGAACAGAAATCTTCTCTCCATCCTTTTAAAAATTGAGGTTCTCTTTCAGTTCTACACATTTAAAAGAAAAACATGTCTTAGTGTAAAAATTGCTGTAAGGAAAATTAAAGCAGCTAATGGAAGAGTGGGTGTTGGGGCTTGGAACTGCCCTTTTGGAATGGGAGTGGCTCTCTCATAAGGTGCCTTTGAGCACATAGCTGAGGGATATGAGTAATCTTCCTGGGTGAGGAGTTTTCCAAATGTGAGACAGTGGGAAGTTGAAAGACCTGAATCTGGAATGTGTTTGAGGAACTTTGGGGAAACTTACATGGGTAGAAGGGAGTGAACAAGAGGGAAAGTGACTAGAGTTAAGGGTAACAGGGTAGTAGCTGCGGGTTTTGGTACATAGGTCACAAACTGCCTATCAAGGGCATTCAAGACCTTGATTCTTTTCTGAATAATTTGAGAAAACAGGATTTTGAGTAGAAGAGTGGCATTATACAATTTTTAAAGTGGATCACTTTGCCTACTTTATAGATGGTAGATATTATTGGGGAGGGGAATGTACTTTTATACTCTTGGTTACAATGTGTGACAATAAAATGATACAGATCAAAGTCATCAAAGATCAAATTATGCATGGGAAAGACTCCAGGAGAGGCTGCACACAAGGTTCCCGGTTGTCCTCTACCAGTGGAGTCATGTGAACAGTGCTGAATTTTCCCAGCAATGATGTTTGAATGTTTGACAACATGTGTGAAGTGCTGCCAACCAGGGAAGCTCACCCAAGCCTGGTGCCTCTAGACCCCAGAATCAGAATGTTACAGTGTTGTCCAAAGTCCCAGGCATACAAAAACGGACATCTACCACAAATCACATTGTTAGCATAAACTCTATGATATGTCCTAAAATCTCATACCTACAAAGACATTCTCATCAGGTGGGATATTCCAAGGACTCAGAGGTATCCTCTAGGGCCAGTCCTTTCTTTGCAATGTTCAGGGATGGAGTAACTGCATATCATCATTCCCTTTTTGTGTAGGAACATAGGAGAGTATGTTCCAAGTAGAGTATTAGTTGGGAGTGTTGGTTACAGAAGATTTTATCTGTATTTGATGTTAGTGTTAGTGCTTTGCTAGAGTTAGCTAAATGGTGGTCTGCAGAATGAAGAAGAGGGCAAGTTGTTGGAATATGATAAACCTCAATAGTTTGTCACATTTACCTTGAAATCAGATGCTAAGGAGACACATTCTTATTTGGCATTGTATTTGTTCTATACACCTGGGTCTGCAAGTTTGCACCTGATCACAATTGTCAATGTTTGGTTCTCTTCAATGGGCTTGATTGAATTTTCAAACTCTACATGTTGAAATGGCTAAAGCCTTGGCCCTGTGCCTTGAGCTTTTATGATACATGTTTCCAAACATAGTCTTATCCAGTACTCTTTGAATACTCTGGTTTTAAAAAAAAATTTATTTTATATTGGAGTACAGTCGATTTACAATGTTGTGTTAGTTTCAGGTGTACAGCAAAGTGAATCAGTTATATATATATATATACATATATATATCTGTTCTTCTTCAATAATCCGTCAATGTTGATGATATCCACATTGCTATTTTCAGATAAGACCTTTTGAAACATTTATATATTCAACCCACTTCTTCATGTTTTGTATGCAGACAAGTAATAACCTCCTTAAGCTTTGTTTCACAATGTGTGCTAGATTTTCTTCTCATTCTGGCCTTCAGTAATAGTCCTCACATTATTAAGAGGCATTCCACCTACCCAGTGGCTGAAACCACATAATTCTTGGAATAATCCTTGAGTCTTAACCTCTTCCGTGCTTCTCCCATTAAGTCCATCAGTGAACCTTGTCTTTTCTTTGAACATATCCTGATTTCCTCCACCTCCTACATATTCATTGCTCCTTTAACCGTGATTCACAGACTGCAACTGCCTTCTTTATTCCTTTGCTTCAGTTGTCTATGCCCAGAATTAAACCTGGGTGTCCTACAAATTTAACTCATTTCTGATACTATCTATGTGGAAATAGTGTCAGACCCTACAAGTTAAGGGTTCAGTCCCACAAGATTGTCCCCATGTCAGATGTCAGTTGCAACTCCAGATTGTTACCTGTGCTTCTGACCAACTGGCTATAAATTGAAGGTTCTCATGACCCTCTTCTTTGGTTCAATTAATTTGCCAGGGTGGCTCACAGAACTCAAAGAAACATTTACTTATGTTTACCAGTTTACTATAAAGGATACAGATGAATAGCCAGAGGAAGAGATACATAGGGCAAGGTCTGAAGGATTTCTGACAGAAGCAGAAGCTTCTGTCCCCATGGAACTGGGGAGCATCACCCTCCTCGCACATGGATGTGTTCACCCATCCAAAGGTTGAGCAAATCTTGTTAAGAGTTTTTATAGAGTTTTAATCTCTAGGCCCTCTCTCCTTTCCCAGAGGCTGCAGGGTGGAGCTGAAAGTTCCAACCTTCTAATCACTTAGTCTTTTTGGTGATCAGGCCCATCCTGAGGTTATGTAGGAACGCTATGCTAAGTCATCTCATTAGCATAAACTCAGTATTGAAAGATACTCCTGTCACTTAGGAAATTACAAGGCTTTAGGAGCTGTGTGGAGGAAGACCAAATATATTTCTTATCATATCACACATAGAATTGTCACTAAATAGTTACTTCACATGAAAGCATTTTTTGAAACAGTTTTCTTCCAAATTAAGATTATGAGAGATTGCGGAATGATTCCTTGTTCTCTTCTTTCCTAGAAATCAGGAAAGTTGATGACGCTCTGCAGCATCACTTGCCAAATCACAGCATTCAAAATATTGTGGAACAATGCTGCGAACATAATACACTTGCAAATATTGTTAATCAGAGCAAAAGTCATTTCCTGTTAAAGCAAAATTGTGATATGTTTGACTTATCTGAAAAACCTTTAAATTCAAATTTAAGTTTTGAAAACCAGAAGAGAACCTGTAACTTAGACAACTCTGCTGATTTTAATGGAGATGGGAAATCCCTTCTCCATGCTAACCACGAGCTATCTTTTACTGAAATTAAATTTCCTGTAAGTGCAAAACCCATCAGCAATAACTCCCTGTCTAGTAAGCAACAGAGAACTCACAACATAGAGAAAGCCCATGTATGCAGTGAGTGTGGGAAAGCCTTCTTCAAGATGTCTCAGCTCTTTGATCATCAGAGAGTTCATACTAGAGAAAAACCTCATGGATGCAGTCTGTGTGGGAAAGCCTTCTCCAGAAAATCCAGGCTCACTGAACATCAGAGAACTCATACAGGACTGAAACATTATGAGTGCACTGAATGCGATAAAACCTTCTTCGAGAAATCGCAGTTCAACATACATCAGAAAAGTCATATGGGAGAGAAACCTTACACATGTAGTGAATGTGGGAAAGCATTCACCAAAAAGTGTCGGCTCATTTATCATCAGCGAACTCATACGGGAGAGAAGCCCCATGGATGCAGTCTGTGTGGAAAAGCCTTCTCTACAAAGTTCAGTCTCACTACACATCAGAAAACTCATACAGGAGAGAAACCTTACATATGCAGTGAATGTGGAAAAGGATTCATCGAGAAGAGGCGTCTTATTGCACACCATCGAACTCATACAGGTGAGAAACCCTTTATATGCAATGTATGTGGGAAAAGTTTCACCTTGAAGAACAGTCTTATCACTCATCAGCAAACTCACAGAGAAGAGAAACTGTATATGTGCAGTGAATGTGGGAAAGTCTTTTCAATGAAGCACTGCCTCATTGTACATCAGCGAACTCATACTGGAGAGAAACCCTATACATGCAATGAGTGTGGAAAAGGCTTCACCTTGAAGAGCCCTCTCATCAGACATCAGCGGACTCATACAGGGGAGAAACCCTATGTATGTAGTGTGTGTGGAAAAGGCTTCACCATGAAGAGTGATCTTATTGTACATCAGCGAACTCATACTGCAGAGAAACCCTATGTATGTAGTGACTGTGGGAAAGGCTTCACTGTGAAAAGCCGCCTGATTGTACACCAGCGAACTCATACAGGGGAGAAACCCTACGTGTGCAGTGAATGCGGAAAAGGCTTTCCAGCCAAGATCCGGCTGATAGGACATCAGCGAATTCATACAGGAGAGAAACCATATGTATGCAGTGAATGTGGTAAAGGCTTCACAGAGAAGAGTCATCTCAATGTACACCAGCGCACTCACACAGGAGAGAAACCTTATGTATGCAGTGAATGTGGCAAAGGCTTAACTGGGAAAAGCATGCTCATCGCACATCTGCGAACTCATACTGGAGAGAAACCATATGTATGCAATGAATGTGGCAAAGGCTTCACCATGAAGAGTACTCTGGGTACACATCAGCAAACTCACACTGCAGAGAAACCGTACAAATGCAACGAGTGTGGTAAAGCCTTTAGGAAGAAGACATGCCTCATACAACATCAGAGAGTTCACTCAGGAAAAACTTCCTTTGCATGTACTGAATGTGGAAAATTCTCTTTGCGCAAAAATGATCTCATTACCCATCAGAGAATTCACACAGGAGAGAAGCCACATGAATGCAGTGAATGTGGGAAAACCTTCACCACAAAGTCAGGGCTCAATGTTCATCAAAGAAAACATACAGGAGAGAGGCCCTATGGATGCAGCGAGTGTGGGAAAGCTTTTGCCCACTTGTCAATCCTTGTTAAACATAAGAGAATTCACAGGTAGTCACTCTGGGGAAGCCTGTTGCCAGTTGTACTCAAGATAATAGTATGCAGAGAAGAATCACAATGCAAAGAATGTGGTGTTATCTTTAGTGATCAATTACCTCATATTTTATGTTGATGAAAAAATTTACAAGAAAACTCAGACACAATCAGCCATGGTGAAAATGTTTTAGGACATTTTATTGTCTAAAAAGTGTATGCTAAGGGCTTGCCTGGTGGCGCAGTGGTTAAGAGTCCACCTGCCAATGCAGGGAACATGGGTTCGAGCCTTGGTCTGGGAGGATCCCAAATGCTGTGGAGCAACTAAGCCCGTGCACCACAACTACTGCGCCTGCATTCTAGAGCCTGCGAGCCACAACTACTGAGCCTGCGTGCCTAGAGCCCATGCTCCACAGCAAGAGAAGCCACCACAATGAGAAGCCCGTGCACTGCAATGAAGAGCAGCCCCCGTTCTCTGCAGCTAGAGAAAGCCCACGCACAGCAACGAAGATCCAACGCAGCCAAAAATAAATAAAAATTTTTTAAAAAGTGTATACTGAGATAAAGCCTAAAATGCGAAAGACTAGGAAAGACTTCATTGGTAATAGACTCTATCATATGTGGTCATCATAGATCATGAGTGAATGAATATTTCTAACTGGTAGAAATATAATTGTGGGAAAGCCTTTGCCCAGAAGTAACACCTCAAGAGATGTCAGTTAACACTAGAGAAATACTTTTTTTATGGTGATGAATATGGTAGGGTTTGCAGTAATAAATATTGCCTCATCATTTGCCAGGAAATCTGTGCAATAACACATTTAGTATGGTGGCCTTTAACAAAATATCAGACAACTTAATGAAGGAAAGAAGCCTTGGAGAAATGATGAATGAGAACATTGTGTTACAGGTCTAAACTTAAGGGGTAATACACCTCACAAACAACTGGGGAAAGGATACCTTCAGCCATATTTCTAGATGCCTTGTCATTGATCTTATAAATTTTACATAGTGGCAGTTACTCTCATCGTGGATTAAATTTTAGTATATACAGTGCAGGAGTGTTCAATTATTTAATTAATTTTTGCATTTCTTTGGTTCCACGTTTAAATGTTATTTCAGAATATTTGAAGTACTTCAAAATGAAGAAATATATTCATTTCATAAGTATAAGTCAACATATTTGGTGTGTTTAACCAAGTTTATAAGTAGCAGCAGGGGGTTATAAAATTAATATAAATGTGATGTTTTTATAACTTTTAATTTTGAAGTAAGTTTAGAATCACAAAAACTGAAATATTCCAGAGATTTCCTAAATCACCTTCAGTCCATTATTCCCAAAGGTAAAACCTTATATAACCACACAGTTTACTATCAAATAGAGGAAAGTGAAATTGTTACATTGCTGTTAACTACAGGGTTTATTTCTATTGCACCAGTTTTAACGTGGTTTTTAAATACCGCCTTAAACTTTATCACATATGTAGGTTCCTGTAACCAACACCCCAGTGCTTTGTCAAAACAAACTCCCTCATGCTACATCCTCATTGTCACATCCTTTCTCCAACACTAGTCCTATAATTTTATCATTTATAGAATATTAGAAAAATAGAATCGTTTAGGATGTATCCTTTTGAGATTGACTATTTGAGCTTGTGAAATTGTAGAAAATAGACATATTGGTCTCTGCCCCCGGTTTCTGGCACAGAGCTTCTGAAACCCTTGTAAATTCCTGCATGATAAGAGCATGTGGAGCATCTCTTGTCCTATTGATGGGACTCTGGGTGGGCTCATGAATGGCTCCTGGATGGGTGCTTGTCACCAAAAAAGACTTGGAATTTTCAGCCCACTCCCCATCCTCCAGAGAGGGGAGAGGGGCTAGAAATGGAGTTACTAATTGATCATGCCTAATGTGAGGAAGCTTCCATAAAATCCCAACAATAGTAGGGGCTATGGAGAGCTTCCAGAAGGGTGAACACATTGAAGTACAGGGAGTGTTAACACACCCCCAGCTCTATGGGGACAGAAGCTCCTGTGCTTAGAACACTCCCAGATCTCACTCTGTTTCTCCTCAGCTTGTTGTTCATTTCTGTCCTTTAATAAACTAATAAACACAGATAAGTGTTTCCCTGAGTTCTGTGAGATAAATCAAACTCTAGCAGATTAATCAAACCCGACAAGGGGCTCACGCAAACCTCCAATTTGGAGGCAAGTCAGACAAGTTGTAGGTAACTTGGGGACCAGCTATTTGCGATTAGTATCTGAGGTGCGGTGGGAGCAGTTGTGGGACTGAGCTCTTAACTGGTGGGATCTGGCACTATCTCCAAGTAGATAGTGTTAGAATTGAGTTAAAATGTAGGACCCAGCTGACAGGAATTGCTTGGTGTGTGGGAAACCCACACATTTGGTGACCAGAAGTGTTGAAAGTGTGTGTGTGGCAACAGGGTGAGAGTAAAGGAGAAAGACAGGAGGAAGGCTGACTGTAGCTTTTCCCAATACAGACTTCAAGTAACTTCAACCTTAGATCCAACTAGAAACTCTGGGCATCTTCTCTGCCACAGAATATCAGACTGTAATAGAGGCGGGGCAGGTGCGTAGCTGTTAGTGCATGACTGGTAGCCGTCCCACTCAGCCATTGACTGGCATCGCAGTGGGTCCCTTCTCCTTCCCTTCCTCTGTGTAAGCGGAGCCCACATTCATACTGAGGGAAGATGGTTTTTTTGAGACACTAGTCTGCCATCTCGGTCGGCTGGCTTTCCGATTAAAGTCGTTACTCCTTGCCTCAACAGGTCATCTTCCGATTTATTGGCCTGACCTGCGGCAAGCAGAGCAAGTTTGGGCTCTGTCCGTAATAAGACTCCAGGCAAACTAGTAGTACCCAAGGTGTTCCTGCCTAACTGCACAAGGTCACCATCATCTTGTCACTTTTGCCCAAAGTGATGACTGGAATGCATCTCACACCACGTTGGCCTTGGATTTGTGCTGGCCTCTGAAAACTTAAATTAGCTCTGTGACTGAGACTATCTCTTGCAAAGAGAGGAAGGCACTGGGGTGCCCAGAAGACATTTCCATGTCTTCTCACCCAGCAGTCTTAGCAGCTTTTATGGCCACTCCTGTTGGAAGCGCCAGAACCTCTAGGAGGTCACAGTGCTGTGTGTCCTCATAGAACCTGTGCAAGTCTTCTGGAACTGAACAAGAGCCCTCAGTGCCCCTAGCAACAGCCAAGGAGGCATTGCGGGGAGAGCGCATCAAAATCAGAAATGGTTTTGGACCAGGTTCAGCCTTTGGCAACTACTGGAGGAGTCTTCAGAGACTCAATATCTGCTGAGCCTGATTCTGGGCAAGGATCCCCAGTGAGGGGCCTGTGGGGTCAGTGAAGAGGGAATGTGTGTCAGTGACGGCATTTGGGGTTTTATTTGGCTTCAGTCACTGAGGAATCTGGGCGTTAGTGATGGGCCTTTGATTGAGGCTTAACCTGTAGAGATTAATGATCGAAGGTCTTGTTGGTCAGGGTTTAGGGTCTATATGTTAGGTCTGCAAGACTCGGTAATTGAAAACTGGATGGAAGTGTGAAACCAATGAGCACTGCTTCTCCCCTAGGTTAGCAATTTAACGTCCAGCTTATGATCTGGAGAAGCCTGGAATTGGGGGAGGAGTGTCAATGGGCAAGAATGTCTGTGGTAAATTTCAGATTGAATTTGAGGTCAGTGTTATGTAGGGAGTGCAGAGTTTGTCTGTGTTTGAGAGCACAGAAGTCTGGAAGTTTTGAGACCCATAGTCCCAGGCTAGTGGTGTTTAGAGACTTGACCTTTGGATGCTGGAAACATTTCTTTTCAGGTTGTCCAGTCCAAGTCCTTTCTCAAAGTTCTTATTAAAAATTTGTCTCGGACTTCCCTGGCAGTGCAGTGGTTGAGAGTCCGCCTGCCGATGCAGGGGACACGGGTTCGTGCATCGGTCCGGGAAGATCCCGCATGCCGCGGAGCGGCTGGGCCCGTGAGCCATGACCGCTGAGCCTGCGCGTCCGGAGCCTGTGCTCCGCAACGGGAGAGGCCACAACGGTGAGAGGCCCGCGTACGGCAAAAAAAAAAAAAAATTTGTCTCCTACATACACTCTTATCATTGCCTGCACAAAAATCAGAATAATTCACCGTGGTCAAGTGGTGTGTATAGGAATAAAGACAGGATTTCTGTTCATCTTACTGCAAAGTTTAGTCTTGGATATTTCCTTTCAGATTTCTTTGACACAAGTAAGAACAACAATTTTCCTGAGTTCTACTCCTCAGTGAGAGCCATCTCATTAAAAAAACTTTTTTTCAGGCTACCTTTCTAAAACTTGGGATCATCTGTACGAACATACATTCAAGAATCTGCCTATCGTCTAACATGGCTGTATTTCTTCTGCATTGTCTCTGGCAAATAATCGAAATTCCTGTTACTCCACATTATCACCAGCATTTCATATTTTCAGTTTTTGGATTTCAGCAAGTCTAATACCTGGGTATTTGTATCACACTGCTGCTTTTTAAAAATTATTAGCATTATTCACATTGCTGTTTTAATTTGCATCTCCCTAACAACAAATGATGCAGACCATCTTTTCATATGCTTGTTTGCCATCTGTTATCTTTGATCAAGTGTCTGTTCAAGGTTTGCCTATTTTTTAAATAGGAGTTTCTTGTTGACTTTTCAGAATTTTTTCTATGTTCTGGATACAAGTCCTTTACCAAGTATAGGACTTATAGGATGAATGTGTTGAGATTCTTTTTTTTTTTTTTTTTCTGAACAAAGTGTAAAGGTTTTTTTTTTTATTATGTGTAACATAGGCAAAATTATTTAAGTCAATAAATTTTTAAGGAATTTCACATGTTCTGATTCTTTCCACTGCCAATCACCTTAGTTCCTCCAAAGTCATAATCTTCAAGATGAGATAGCCCTTTCAAAAAAGAAGTTTTGCTCAATCCACACAATTCTTTTAGTTGAGCTTCTTTGATCTCC